CCGGTACACCCTCCGCTCTGGCGTGTCACGTGTCACTCGCGGCGAGGGTGCGCGAGCGTGTGCGAAAGGAAAAGCGCATAGCAGGGCCGCAACCTGCAGAGCAGAGGAGTCGGTCCGTTCCGAGGCCGATGCCCTCCAAGGCCATTGCGACACTTCGTATAAATGAATCACCGCCAGTCCCGCACCAGCGCGGCGGCGCCCGACCTGTTGGGGGAAGGGGGATTTTGTCTCGGATTCACTTGGGATCACTACTCGGCTGCGTCTCGTCCAGCTTGGTGCTGTTATTGCCTAACTTGACGTTCTAGGAAAGTTTCAAAAAATTATGTCGTTTTCCGTTTTGCATGTCTCGGCCTGGGCACATCGATTTGCTGTGCGCCGACTGGTCCACAGTGCGAACCTCATACAGCCAGTGCCACGCCAGTGCACTTGACTTTACATCGGACAGTCTCGTCTCCGCTAGTCGTCGCAACACAAACGAACAAATCGGCGTTCCGCAGGTCCCGCACTTCCCTTGAAGGGCGAGCATAAGGACGGGCCAAGAGTGTGCCCACAATCACCACCACCATGGCCCACTATGCAAGTACAAGAACGAGAAGAAGAATGAGGAACAAGGAAGGACAGGACAGGCAGGCAAACCAAACCAGGCTCTTTGCAAGTCCGAACAAGTCCTACCCGGCGTGGCCCGCTTTGTCTGGGGGCCGGCGCGGGGGAGGGGCGGCGGGGCGCGCGGTACAGGAAGAGGCGGGGAAGGGGCCGGAGGGCGGCCATGGGCAGGAGCGGCGGAGGTGAGAAGCAGGATCGCGCTGGAGGGTGGGGGTGGCGGGGGCTCCTCGCTCGGTCGGGACATCGCCTTCGGGAGCACCAGCACCCAGGGGGGCGAGGCGTCGTACCCGGAGCTTCGGTGCGCGGCCGCTAGATGGCGGCAGGAGGGCAGGCAGGCTGCTCTCACGTGACGAGGAGCACATGGCGCTCGCCGCCGCTGCAGCATCATCCCCGGCCGCTGCCCCCACCACCGCCACCGCCGCAGCAGCGCCGCCGCGCACCAACAACAAGAGCGCCCTCCCCCTCCCCTCCCCGCCGGCCTGCCCGCGCCCGCCCAGGCGGACTGGGCCGGGCCCGGACTCCCCTCCCTCCCTCTTCAGTGTAGCGCAGGCAGAGCTGGGAGACGCATCGAGACAGACACGTCTTGCTGCTGCTCCGCTCCGCCCCCGGCCCAGCCGTCCCGCGCCGTGGTGCCGTGCCCGCGACCAGACAAAGGAGTACTCGCTCTCTCTCTCTCGCTCCGCCCACCCCCCGCCGCACCGCGTGCGTCGAGCCGCCAACCCCCTGCGCCGGGCAGGGGTGAGTCTGTGAGAGTGAGTGTCTCGCCATCCAGCATCGCACGGCCATCGACACCATGGATCAGGACATCGAGATCAACCTCGCGGCCCAGTGCCTCCTGGCCATGTCCAACGGCAACTCGTGGGCCCGGACCAAGCCGTCCTCGCCCCTGGACCTGTCCTCGCACCAGCAGATGGAGCTGCAGAAGCAGCAGCAGCAACAACTCAAGCAGACGCAGCCGCAGACGCAGCAGCAGGTGGATGCCGCCGGGGCCAACCGCGGCGACACCCTCTACATGGTGGCGCGCATCCTCACGGACCTGACGCGCATCAAGCAGGAGCCTGTGCCCCAGGACCCCGACTCCGACCGGAGCGAGGACTGCGACCAGCTCGTCATCGACGAGAGGATGGACGACCAGGATGACGACCAGGACCCGGATCAGGACCAGGGCGCTAACGGCCTCAAGTCCCACAAGTGCGCCGCCCCCGGCTGCGGTAAGGAGTACGGCAAGAGCTCCCACCTCAAGGCACACCTGCGCACCCACACAGGTGAGCTCCTCAGCGCAGTGCAGTCCGGGTACGCCGGCCGCCACGCCCCGCCACGCCCTCCCCCCGGGTGCACCACGCCGCGCCGGGCTGCATGCCGGCTGGTGCTCTCGTCCTGGCCGTTGCCGTCCCCTGCCGCATGCCGGTGGGCTGCCGGCGGGGGAGGGGAGGGAGCCTCCACGCCTCCCCACCCCTTAGGGTAGGGATGTGGTGGCGGCTCCTTCCAGCCCAGGTGCCATGCCGCCCCTCCACGCCGCCCAGGCCTTGTTGCATGCCTCCCAACGAACAGCGCGTTCCAACCGCCTCGTGGTAGTCGAGTCGCTCTTTTTACATATTCAATTTTCACAGTGTGGGTGATTTTTGAGAGGCCGTGCGCTTTGTTCTCTCCGGTCGGTACCCACATAATCCTCTCCGTTGCCCGGGGGATATCCATTGGTCCTGCTTGCTCCAGCCTCTGGCTCCAGCGAGCTTGCCGAGCGCGTGACTGGAGGCGTGGTGGGTGGACATGGAACCGTTTGCTACCCTCTTTTTCACTCTCTCGTCGAGGGGCCGTACTGGGCGTGTCGGCGGGTCATCGGCGTCCGCCTCTTCGATCAGCCCGCTGGGCCTGGGCGGCGTGCTACTCGGCAAGTCGAGGGTGGGAAACGCGGCAGGCTGGGCAACGCGTTCCTCATATCCCGTCCGGTCCGTTGGCCCGCCTCACCCCTCGGGATAGGAACGCCCCCTTCTCCTCCCACATCCCCCCGTTCCGGTGACGGTCCACCTCCACCTTCACCGCCTTCTCTCCCCCCCGCCCCTTGCCTCTCCGGCCACGCCCTCGCCGCTTGAGCCCTAAAGACTACGGCGTGATCCTTAGATATCTGCGGGCCAACTTCTTGGAAGAGAGCGAGGGATGGGAGGAGAGCGGCGCAACGTGGTGACTCAGTGCGGCTGGAGAAGAGAGGGGGGGGGGCGGATACAACAGGTACACAGCCCGGCAGGGTACGTGCGGCAGCAGCAGGGGCGCAGCGCAGAGTCCCGGGCAATGCTGGGGGTTCGTGTGTGAGTGTGCGCAATGCACGTGTTCTCAGTTTTCGTGGCGTTGACACGGCCTCGCTATGCCTCGTGGCGCAGCAGGCAGCCCGCTGGTCTAGAGCAGCGCGACTCGAAAAGGTTTTATCACCCGGGCGAGAGGGTCTACGCCGAGCTGAGGCGGCGGAGCAGCAGCAGCAGCGGTGGTGGTGGTGGTGCTGTGTCTGTCGAGTTTTTTGAGCGAGTGGGGCCCCCCGCCTGTGCGTTGCCATGCATCGCCGAGGTGGGGGTGGCGGTGGTTGCTGTCGCCCATGCCCCATGCCCCTGCCCGCCTCCATGACGCCCCCCCCCCTCCCCCCGGTCGGGGCACACGTGGAGCGCACTACGGGAGGGTCGCGCCCCTCAGTTGGCCCCCCTCCCCCCCATTTCTCGTTAGCGCAGAGGTGAGGGGGGGGGGAGGGGCGACATGTGGAGCGCAGCCTTTCACTCGTGTGTGTTTGTGTGCGCGAACTAGCAACGCGGTTAGTTGTCATCGCCGTCCTCCCTATGTCCGCACGGTGGATCAGTAGTAAGGAGCACTAACCTCGGCCCGCCCCGTCGCGCCTTGAACGTGTGCAGTCAGCTGAGCCGGAGGACCTCCCCGCTGGATCTCGACACGTGGTTGAGCGGCCCGACCACGCCGCGACGGCCGCGCCGCCGCCGGTCCCAGAGGACAGCGGGATCCCTCCTCCCCCTCCCCCGCGGCGGCGGTCCCCGCCCAAAGTGGTCAGCCTCTGCACATTGGGCGGCTTTTGGAAGCGCGCCAAAGCCAAACGAGCAGAAAATCAGGTGATCGGCCAGGTCGGGCCTGGGGACACGCGCTCGGCATAGCACCGTTCGCGCCGTGCCGCGCCTCGCCCGTGCGTGGCCGCGTGGCCCGGTCCGCTGAGCCCGTCTCGCACCGGCGAGCCACGCCACGGCGGCGGGGCGGGGCGGGGCTGCATGAAAATCAGGCGCGGCCGAGGCCTCGGCCGGACCCTTCCCGTTGGCCTCGGCCTTGCCTCTCGCCCCGGTCCGCGGCCTCGCCTCGAAGCACCACCTCGAATTGTTGGTCGGGACGCGGTGCCTCGCCCGCCGCGCCGCCGGCAACTTGGCGCTTGGCGGGTTGAGCGAGCCCGTTCGCCGTGGCCGCAGGGGGAGGGGGGCGCGGAGGGTGCAACGCCCTTGGGCCCCCCTGCTTGGCCTGCCCCGGCCGCTCGCCCGGCTTGGCGTCGCGCTGGTTTCATGGTCGAGAAGATCCACGGTCTGGCCCAACCCGACCTGGGCGGCCGGCAGCGGCACGGCCCACCGTCGTGCCTGGCCCGCCTGGTCTGGGACGTGCCCGTGCCGCCCGTGCCCCTGATCCCCATTGTTGGCCGCAAGGCGCTGGGACTGTGTTGGCCCCACGCGTGGCGCGCAGCTCGCCTCGCGGGGCTCAGGGAGGGGAGGGAGAGGGGGACGCTCTCTCCCGAGAACCGAGCCGCGCGCGGCGTAGATAGGGGCGCCCCGGCCGGGCTGTTCAAGACGCGACGCGAGGCGCCCGCAGCATGTCCCCTTCCTCCCCCCCTCCGTCCCTCTGTGAGCGGAGTGCGGGGTCCCCGACTTGTCTCCGGCGAGTCTTCCGATGAGTCAGCGAGGGTCACTACAGCACGCTGATGCGGGGCGTGGCGGCGAGGAGGGGCGTGGCATCCCGCCCCGTTGCGGCATAGCAGCGGCTTCCCGGGGGTTTTCCCTGCAGGAAAAGCTGGCGCGCTCTTCGCCTGCTCGATTCTGTTGAGGCCCCTGGTTCCGTGGAAAGGGTCGCGGCGGGCGAGGGCGAGGCGGGCGCCGCCGGAGCGTGTACACAAGCGCGCGCCGTAGCCAACCCACACGCCCATCTCGGTGCGGCGGAGCGCCTCGTCACGCCTAGAGTCCTATAGGGGAGAGAAACGTCATGGGTGTCTTGCTCATCTGCCAGTAGAATTTTTCATGGCGGCCATCTTGGGGAGACTGCGGGGCGCGCGGGGTTTGACTGTACGCACGACGGAGCGACGTTGGCAGTTACTTCTATTTTATTGCCAACAACAAAGCGATTAAAAAATTGAACCAATGTGGTTTTAGAAA